TCCTGTTTAGATATAGTATACGGGTATTTAGTAATATGAGAGCGAGAGATCAACCGGTGCAATTTTGTTTTATTTTTAAATTTCCCGCTTAGTCCATTCCCAACCTGCATTACTGCCTCCAATTCCATACAATAGATACAGCTTATGTTCATACGCAGGCATCGAATGGACAAAGAAATAACCTCTGTGACATATATATTTTGATCTCTCAAGGATAAAGTTTTTTAGCGATTATAAAGAATTATTAGTGCAATTATTAGTAAAAAGAATTGGCCTGATTATTCGAAGCCACAACCTCGCTACACTATTGTAGCGAGTGTAGCGAGTGAGAGAGTACACTATTGTGTGTAGCAGAAGAAGAAGAAGAAGAAGAAGAGTGAGTGCTCCTTATACTACTTCATGGAAAATACGGGAACAAGAACAAACACATCAGCTCTTTTTTAAACTCATCTGTCATTTAGTGTATTTTCGTAACTTCGTACAATAAAGGACGATTTTACGTTCCCTTACGGAGGTACAAATAACGCTATTTTTATGATTGCATTATGAAAAATGGATTTTTTGTTTACTAGCTTTTAAACCCTTATTAATACCGTTATTGACGACACTAAGCGCACAAAATTTTAACTTATTTTATCGTTCATAATATTAATTAGTGGGTTGGTGTGGAACGTTCTTTTTGTAACAACGATGACTATGGTTGGGAAGAGACTCAGATTTTTTCTAACCACTAAATTGTATACAATGGTTGACATTGAAATTAATTTTAAATGCATTTTGGATCATATTACTTTTGCTCATCATCTCCCTAATAAATACCTCTTTATCCGGAAAGAATTTTAGTATGTGCTGTATATTCATTGAGCATGTATTGTGTGCTTTTCTAGACACATGGCAACAAAGGCAGATAATAATGAAGGTGTTCGATTTTCAAAACTGTACATACAAATAGCACATGCGATTTCAAACTGACAAATGAACTGATAATTAAAGTATGTATTAGTAAATGAATTCTAGCTAAAAGCAACCAGGTTAATATAATACATACCAAGAAAAAAAATATAAGTCACAAAAGTTATCTGTTTTTTATATTTCCCTAAGTGTAAAAAAATATAAACTTTACATTCACAAACTGATTTAATAGATTATTATTATTATTCGACAATGTTGAAAAGTCTTCTTCAAATTGTAGAAAAATAATACACGAAATGAAATTGTAAAGTCCCAAATAGTACGTATACAACATATGACCACAATTTGGAATTAATATTTTTTTATTAAAGCATTTAAAAACCTTACAAAAAGTTTAGAACCCACACAGCACATAATATTTTTTAAATATATTTGAGATACTTCAATGAAACGTCTTTGACGTATTGTCAAAATAGAAAAATATCTGCCTTTGCGGAAATATTGACGCAATACTTGAGGAAATACTTGATTAGAATATTTATGAAATTTTCAACTTAAATGATACGCAGTGGATTTCATATTTTAAAAAATTCTAACTTTCTGTGAAATATTTCCTAAATATTGCAGGAGTCTTCATGTGTAATATTTCTAAAAATTAGGGTTCGATGCACCTGGGAAAAAAGCTATGATCCATGATATTTCAGAAATGATTCTTAATTTAAGAATATTATATTCTAACTTTAAGAATAAAATGCATGTGAAATATTCTTAAATAGGCTGAAGAGCAGGGCTTTTCAACTCATATTTGTTTTTTCTTCCCTCACAACACAAGGATATTCAGGATATCCCTGGGACGTCCTGGGGATATCCATTTGCTTTTGGCGATTCGGATATCCCTAAGATATCCTCTGGATATCCCTAAGATATCCTCTGGATATCCATGGACATCTCTAAGATATCCCAGGGATATCCAAACCGCCGAAAACAAATCGATATCCCCAGGACGTCCCAAGGATATCCTGAATATCCTTTTGTTGTGAGGGTTTTTTTAAATATGTTAAAATTAATATTTACAAGAGAAAAGTTTCAAGAAAGTTAGGAAATTGTCATTTTTCCCTTAATTTTTTAATTTTAATTGATGTTTACGACATTAATTATATTTTAAACATTTTTTTTATTCATGTAATACTGAAGCGTACTAAATTCTACGTCGAACGAGCCCTACTTGAATAGATTTCTTTAAAAATTGACTAATTTATTGCAGTTTTCCTATTTGCAAGACAAGTAACAAATTTAAGTATTTGTCAGTTTTCCTTAATTTTTCATTATTAATTGTTTTATGTACAGTGTTTTTGAAGTTTTGGCGCAAGTTTTTTGTATCTTGGTCTTGCTAAGAATAAATTTTTCTATAAATATAAATAATTTTAAAAATTTTATTTTTCATATAAGAAAAATGTAGCTACACGGAGAGAAATCTGTTACTATAATACAGGATGGCCGCAAGTAAGGGAAAAACTGGAAATCAGGGAAAAGTCAGGGAATTTTTAAAAATTCTTTAAAAGTCAGGGAATTTTGATTAAAAGATTTTGATTAAATTAAAAAACTTTGATACATAAATGTCAATTCAGTTTTTTTTATTTAGACGTTTTTGTAATATAGCTCATTATAATGGTGCCGTCAGATTTTTTATTTTTCAATGTATTTACTTTTTTATAATAAAAGTTTTAAATATAATAAAATTTTGTTATTAAACAATTTTTAATTATCTTATCTTTTCCTTTATGAATAAAATTGTTACTTAAAAAGCATTATAAAAATTTCAATCAGCAATGCAGAATATTAAATAATTCATAAGTTTTTTAGTCAGAGAAAATAAAAAATTAGTCAGGGAAAAGTCAGGGAATTTTTAAAAAAACATTTTGCGGCCACCCTGTAATAGCGCATGAGCAGTCCGTTCGAAAATAGCTCAGACACAACCTTGCTTAAATTGCAAGAAATCCTTGCTGACTTTTCATGGCTTTCGAGCAAAACTCGCACAAGCTGCGCAATATTAGCACAAGCCTTTGCGATATTAGCAAACGAAGCTCATGAGAAAAGCGCACGCGTAAGTCTTGTGAGCTAATCGTAACAGATTTCTCTCCGCGTTGGTAGTCTCAAAAATGAAATCTGTAAAATATTTTACAAATTTTATAGCATATGCTTTTGAATCAATAATTGTTATACCTTTGGCAGAAATGCTGTTGATTCAATAGCATATTTTTCTCAGTGCATAAAAATTCATTTTTTGCACTTCCATTTTGACTTCTTTCCCGAAAACGTTAGGCAGCGACGAGCAAAGTGAAAGATTTCACCAAGGAATAGCAGCAATAGAAAAACGTTTCCAAGCAAAATGTACAGTGAATATGTTCTCCGAATATTGCTGGTCGCTTAAACGTCACGAGAACTATTCAAAGATGAGAGGAAAAAGGCTGAATATAAGCATTTCTAATTTCAAAATAATTTCAATTTACAAAAGGCATGTAATTTCAATTTATGTGTACATTTTTATTTTAGTAATTAATATTAGAAATTTAAATTGAATTTTATTTAACTATAAGAACATTCTTGACAAAAAGGCAGACAAAGTGCTGTTCCTTACGAAAATTTAGAACACTGAAGAAAATGACGTTTATTTTTCACAATGTTACACAAATTATGTCACGAAAATAACGCCAAGAAAATGATGTTACTCGTTAAATGTCATAATAAAAAGAATAGCTGAAATAATATAAATCTTAACATTTAAATTTCTACACGGAGAGAAATAGATGGTAAGATCTAATGAACTTAACCTTTATGGGACTGACAAGATACCCGGGTACCTTTTGCATTTTCAAATCGAATTTTTTCATAATTTTTAAAATCATATCGACCTAAGGTTTTTTGACATCTCAAATTTATTCATACAAAGTGTTTTAATATTATTTATAATGTACCTTTATTATTTATTTATTCAGAAATAATAAATAAAGTTTCTTCACCATTAAAAGGCGGACAAGGTACCCGGGTGCATTTCATGCAGATAAATGTAGAAATTTCTATTAAAAAATTATGAAAAATTACATTAAACAATTTTTATTAATTTTTATAGTAATGCACATAATTTTTTTTATAAAATATATGTAATTTAGTTACTATAGTTAAATAATAATATTCATAAGAAATCGTCAGTTTTTAACTTAAAAATTACCATAAAAATGAAGTTTGAATATAATTAATTTGTATTAAAAATGTATTTTAAATAATAAAAAATAAATTTCTTACATTTTTATATTTGATTTCACAAATAATCTGGCTAAATATGTACCTGTTATGCAATCTAACAAATAGTATATACACGGATATTATTTAATGAAAGATCAATGAAATTGTGAATATATACAAAATACTTAATACATAATGGACAGTTTTTTAATAATCAACTAAAAATGATAATTTTTTATTAGCAAAAAGAAATTCTTATTTTAAGATGAGTCTTAAAATCAGCGCTAGTAGTTATAATGGAAATTGCATTGCGTAAATTCAGCAAAGCTGCCTTAAAAATGTTGCCTCTTAAAATAAGACCAATTTTCGGCCTTAAAATAAGACTTCTTTTTAATGTGTATTCATACTATGTGATTACTACTATCATTGAAACGTCCACTACACTTAAAGTTAATTGAACAGCTCATTTTGATTTAAAATCTTCAATAAATTAAATATTGGTACCCGGGTACCTCGTCTGCCCATAGAAGGTGTTTTTTTCCTCAGTCCCATAAAGGTTAAAATGGTTAAAAGTAGATGGTATCTGGTACCATCGTTATACTACTCGGTATGTATACTATCAAAGATGGTACAAAAAGTATGGTTATGTTACCCATTACAATCATGATGTTACCCCGTACAATCTGGATAGTAACTGATAGAATCTAGATTGCTGTCTGTATATGTAAGATCAAATATGGTACCTGGTACTATCTAGATAGTACCCCGTACCATCTATTTCTCTCCGTATAGTTTCTGAAATAAGTATTATATGTTATTTCCTTAAAAAATGTTAAAATTAATACCCTGTAGAGAACGCCAAAGTTGACCTTTCAATAATGTGGAAGCCTATTTGGTGTGCAGGACTGCGGACAAACGGTTTTATCTGAAATAATAAAAACAAATTTTTTAACTATATTTACATCTACCCAGATAGCACGAAAGTCTGCTGCCAACTTGCAGTCAACTTGCAATGCAAGTTTGCAATGTCCCACCCTTTGAAAACTTGCAGTAAACTTGAAGAAGACTTGCAGCAAGTTTGCTGAAAGTCTTCTGCAAGATTGCTGCAAGCTTTCAGCAAGTTTTTTGCAAGTTTGATGCAAGCTAGCTAGAAACTATAATTAATTTATTATTCAATTTATTAATTAATTAATTATTAATTTAATTTTAAATACAAATTCCCTTTAATATGTATTTGGGACCATAGCTGGAAGGTAAACAAAATATACTGCGCAGCCCTATATGTTATAGAATTGAACTGCGCATCGTTTTTTAGTTTTGCAAAAATATTGTTTTGCAAAATATACTGCCTGAAATCCAATTATAAATGTTACACTGAGAGAAATAGTACTATCTAGATAGTACCAGAGTACCATATGAGTCGCCGGAAAGTAAAACCACACATAAAATTCTGACTCTTATTGAATTAACATGGCCGTCAGAATTTTATGTGTGGTTTTACTTTCCGGCGACTCATATTTGATCTTACATATACGGACAGCAATCTAGATTCTATCAGTAACAATGCAGATTATACGGAGTAACATCTTGATTCTAGTGGGTAACATAACCATACTTTTTGTAACATCTTTGATAGTACCGAGTAGCATAATGATAGTACCGGATAACATCTACTTTTTACCATCTAAGGCCAGGTCCAAGTCGAGTCAGCTGTTCCTTTGAAGTTTCAATGGAATAGCTGACACGACTTGGACCTGGCCTTAAGATCATAAGTTCTTACCATCTATTTCTCTCCGTGTAATATTCAAAAGTTTTATAATTTTGGTTTAATAAACCTACACTACAAGTCTCTCTCCTCTTTTATCAAAAGAAAATAACAAGCATGTCCTTTACATATATATATAGGAAAAATTTAACGCTTTTTGCATTCTCTCTTATCAAGGAAAAGTACTATAATTTTATCTTTGTTTACTCTAACGCTTGTCATACTTTATCTATACAAAGAATAATAACATAAGAGTGTCTTTTTCTTACCTAACTGATTTTCATAATAAAATAAGTTTTTATAAGAAGGACAGTAATACAAAGTTTTTCTGAATACGCGACAAATTTAGCATGAAATAGTGACACTCCCTCTTAAAAAAATGACTTTCTAATAGTATGAACATTTGATTTGACAGCTGTTAATTGACAATTTGTAATTAAATTAATTGTTTCGAAAAACTGTAGAGCGGTATGACGTTGGCTTAAACGTACTCTTAATTTTAGTTATTATTTTTAAAAATATATTATTTAATTATTATTTTTTATCCCTTAGGCACAAACATGGTGCTTTTAGATACCTCATTTATTCTCCCGTCTGAAAATGGCGATCATATTTGCCCTAGGGTAAAAATGGACGCCATTTTCAAACGGTAGAAAAAATGAATGGCTTTTTCACCCGGACGTCAGATTACCTAAAGCTCGACGTTTGTATCTTTGGAATAAAAAATATCGTAAGTAATATCGATGGATGCAAATGCCAACGTAAGCAATGGCTCCCTTTGGATCCTTGTTGCTTAATATACTATTTTTTAAATATTATATTAATTTTTAAACAATTTGTTTAAAAAATAAAATTTGTTTACAAGGGAGGGAATAATAAACCACAAAAAATCTCATATTTGCACTTTTCTTTTGGTCTTGTTTGCTCTATAGTATTGGGCATAACCATTTTATAGGTATTAAAGTGTCAAATTACACTAGAAAAATTTTATTTTAAGTTTTATCTGTAAATTAAGGAACGAAATATTTTAATTTACTTTTTCCAAATAGTTCTTAATATAAATTCATAATCCACATTTTATTTTACTAACATTTAATTTGTAATCACCCAAATAGCACGGAAACTTGCAGCAAGTTTGCAGCAAACTTGTGGCAAATATTGAAATGTCCACCCTTTGCAAGTTTGCATCAAAAACTTTCTGCAAACATGCTAAGCAAAATTGTCGAAAAGTTTCAAGTACAATTTGTAGCAAAATTGCGCGGAAAATTTTTGGAAATTTTAAAATGCAATTTTTAGTAAAATAAATATTTAATAATTTTATAGAAAATTATTTTGTCAATTTCTTTCGAATTTAAATAATTAAATCACAGAATAGAAAAGAAGAAATAGCGAAACAATTTTTTAAAAGAAAATTTTTTAAATTTATTCTCAGTGACGTTATACATTTGTAAACATTTTTAATATTGACTACAATTTATTAGCCACGATGTTAGTAACTTGTGTCGCTATTTCTCTTTTTCTATTCTGTGATTAATTATTTAAATTCAGAAGAAATTGACAAAATAATTTTCCATAAAATTATTAAATATTTATTTTACTAAAAATTGCATTTTAAAATTTCTAAAAAATTTCCGTGCAATTTTGCTACAAATTGTTTTTGAAACTTTTCGACAATTTTGCTTCGCATGTTTGCAGAAAGTTTTTGTTGCAAACTTGCAAAGGGAGAACATTTCGATATTTGCCACTAGTTTTCTGCAAAATTACCTTATAAACTTTCAAACCTTGCACTGCAAAGTTCCTGTGCTACTTGGGCAGCTTAATTTTCTTAACCTCACAATCTCTTAACCTTTTAATGTTAAAATAATATTAAAAAGTTTTTAATCTTTAAAAGGTTCTTCAATAATTGATCTTCTTACGAACCTTTCTGCGTTATAAATATCAATTTTTATATAGATGAAAACAACTCATTCAGTAAGTGATTTTCAGTGATTCAGATTTAGAGATAATGGATTTGAATATAACAGTGTAATCTAATATTTCAGAGATTTGTTATTCTCACAATTGTAATTTGAATAATAGAAAAAAAGTCTGTACTAAATTTGAAAATGGGTATTGTGCAGTGCTTCAGAAAAATTTCTTTTTTTTTAAACTTTTTTTACTGAAAAATAAAAAGTTCCAGAGATATGCCTATTTTCTAAAAATCATAAATATTAAAATTTTTTAAAGTAAATAAAATTTGAAAATCCTTCTAGATACTGTAGATATATAAATATACTATACTATCCTATCCTCCACACAAACCATCAGTTACTATTTTTCAAGAGATAAAGAAAAAGTTAATCTTTAATTTCGCAACTAATGAAAGATTTTGAAGAAGAGTATAAAAAACTAGTGAAAGAAATATATCAAGATAAATAGAAAGAGGCGTCAAATTGTTAGGCTCAAAATTCTCATTAAAGAGACCTACTTTCATCGAAAATTGGCACGTTAGTCTCTAAAAGAAAGACACTTCAGGATCGGTTTTGTCACACTTTTTTCAACTTCAATAATTTAAGGCATCAGGACAGGAACTGTGAATTTGTGTCACATATAAAGTGGAGAATGAGAGAAGAGTGGAAAGCCCTTTTGTAATGATGTTTTTTAATATAAGTTTAAATTTTAATCTTTCTTTCAAATTGAAAAATATTTTTCACTTTTTTCAAAAAGAAGCCATTGTTTTCATTTTCTTCCTTTAAAATATAAAGCGTCAATAACCAAAATAAAAGAATGTTGTTTTTTGTTTGCGAGATATTAAGGAATGATTAATAAAAATAAAATATTTTACAACAAATAAAATAAATGTAATGTTAAATACATCAATTTAAAGCTTATTAAAAAAGATGATAGATTCCCGATGACAGCTGCAATGACATACCTAAGTATCGTCTATCATCGTATGACGGTGTGCTATTCAGCTTTATTCATTCAGGCTATAAATCCAGTCGTCTGCCTATCATATAACATTACATTAACTGAATATTATGATGGATTTTTGATATTCCATCTATGAAAAAAGTAATTGTGGGACGTAATCAATTACGTACAAAATGTTAGCAACGCAATTATTAATTAATTACTATTGATATTATTTTGGTGATTTGAGATAATTAATTTTTTGTGGAGATTAACTTACTATAATAATCAATTATGAGTTCTGATATTTCTATTCAATATGAATTGTTTTCTATCGATATCCTACATTTTGTAAGCTTTCCCGTTTTCTTTAAGAATTAATAATTTAGTACTATGAATCGAGTATATTTTCCTCTTTACTTTGAAAATTGTGACCCCCAATTATAAGTTTTTGAATGAAGAAAAATGAATCATTGTTAAATTAAATCTGAAACTTTGTTTGAATAAATGATGTTAAATTACTGAAAATTATGTTGTGTTAATTTTAATTGAACCTCCACACTCTTCGTCTATTAAAATTATAAATAAGCTTTTCACTGATTTAGATTAGGAGAGTCTTGCTCAATATTAAAATTTGACATTTAATTTTTGTTTTTGTTTAAAGTTAGGATAATGTTATATTCCATTTTTTGTTTTGCTGAAAGTGTTCTGTTATTAACCAGAACATTTGAAATAAAGTGGTAGAAATTTGACTAGAAGGTTATGAAAGGAAAATATACTTTAAATATCGTTAATTTTTTATTAATAATTAATATACACTATTATTAGACTTTATATATATATAAACGTATGTACATACTTAATAAATTGAAAACAATATTATTTAAATTAAATTATTCAATTTCTGGCAATACCAGGATTAATCCTGTCGCCATTAATAAGGCTTGAGATGTTCAACTATAAGTATAGCAAAAAAGAAAAAATCGATTTTTCGCAACTCAAAACCCTTACACTAACCCCCTTAAAGTTATTGAAAATAATCGCTAAACTGCAGAATAGGTACGTAAAGAAAGAAGTTGTCTTCACGATGTGACAGGTAGTGATGCCAACTATATAACAATTAACGCGTGACATTCAAACAGTCTCCTCTTATAGACCTCTCACTTCTACTTTCTTCAGGAGCTCCTCTGGTCAACCTTTTCAATTCTTATCTATAATTATTTCTAACGTAATTAGTCCAATTCCTTCTCTACCGCTATATGAGATAT